ATGTACAGATTTTGGGACCCAACGCTGGGTAATGCCCTCTACTACTTCTACTGAAGTAAATGTGACACTTTGGGTGGTTAAAATACAGCTTCACGGCAATGTTATACAGTTAGGATTCAAGAGGTTTCGTGTTATATGTATCTATAGAAGTTCAGATTATGGCTGTGCAGGCTTTTGTGTGTGCTGTTTTAGCCTAAAGGCCACGTGAGTGTACCGTGGATCAAAGAGTGTCAGCCAGGCATCATTCTGGTGACAGGAGTGGCACGGTTTCATTTTTATGTCAGTCTAGATGTGACTCACATGTTCTCGTTAGAATCCTGATTTTATAAAAGCCTTGAGAGATGCCCCACACATTCATGCCATCAGCAAGCAGGAAAAAATGGAGGAGCAAAGCCACCGTGCTCCACCACGAGCTGGTAAGTTGAAGTTTAGTGAAAACCCACATTTACTTTTTAAATCCAGTTACGTCTGAGCATATGCTGGTGAAATGAGGCGTAAACTGAGGGTTTGTCACTGCCCATGAAATCCTGCCAGCAGAGCCAGCTGCAGCCCCGTGGAAGCCGGGGGGAAATCTGGTTGCCTCAGGGGGAGCCTGGTAGCCAGATGGGACACCTGAGGGTTGCTTCACTCTGCTTCTAGCCCGGGACTTGGTTTTGCACAATCTTTTTGAAAGCAGTCGTAGATAGAATCATAGAATCATAAAATTGCCTGGGTTGGAAGGGACCTTTCAGATCCTCAAGTCCAACCATCAACCTAACTCTGACAAAAACCATCACTAACCCATGTCTCTAAGCACTATGTCAACCCGGCTTTTAAATACCTCCAGGGATGGTGCCTCAGCCACTTCCCTGGGCAGCCCATTCCAAGGCTTCATAACCCTTTTCATTCAGGGGGGACATTTCTGGGAGCAACACATTGCAGACTATCTCTCCACTCTTGAGAGATGGGTCTGAAAGGGATTTCACACCCTTCACAGGTGTGAAAGGGATGAACCCCAAATGTCCCCATAGCGTTTGCCGTATGAGTCCTTCAGCTTGGCAGGGATTTCTCTCCCCCTTTTATGTTCTTTGTCTCTTCCACAGTCCCTGGCAATTCAGTGTGGTTCTTTGGTCTTAAGGTATTTGTACAGAGAGTAAAGCTTTGGCTCTTTGCTGGATTCCATCGAGACAGCAGTAGCAGTGAAGATCTATCTCCCAGCCAGGCTCTGGCAGGAGCTCCAGGAACTGGAGCACGAGTTTGCCAGGAGCTATTGTTAGCGCACGCCGAGCATCACCATAGGCCAGACTGTTGATTAAGAGGTTATTTTTGTGTCTTGTGCCAAATATTTT